GCGACCGGCGAACAGACGGAGAGTCTGAGAGAAGTTTTCGTTACGTTTCTCGCGGCCCGGCGCACATACTTGCACACCGGGAATAGAGGGAAACGATGACGACGACGACGACGACGACGACGACGAACGACGACGACGCGGCCGGATTGCCTTCGTCGAGGACCCTCGCCTATTTTCCAGGGAACGAGGAGCGGTCGACCCGAGGAATGGAAATTGTTGACTATTCCACTGCCGAGCTTTCTTCTTCCCTTGTTCCTTTTTTCTGCTCTTTCCTTTCTCTCTCTCCCTCTCTCTTTCTCTTTTTCCAGGTTTTTGTTCTTTTCGGGATATTCCGCGGCTTTTCCCGCGCGCGCGCTCGCGTTTTCTTTGACACAATGGCGCCATTCAGCGCGCCGGTGTCGCGAGCTATTTCTGCGTCGAGAATGACGAGACGCGCGGATTTTCTGTGCGGGGAGTTCGCCGATGATGGTTGAGACGCGATTGTACGCTCGTTGGGTGGGTTCAGAGTTTTTTGAGGTTCTTCGGTGCATGTTCGGCTGAGTGACGAAATTTGTTAAAATATTCAATTATCGATGTATCGCAATTTCTCGTCGAACTTCACCGTCGTCTATCTACTGTAGAGATTCTAATCTTTACTCGCTACTCTATCCATCCTCTGTAAACATCCTTCCCACACGCAATACAAGGGCGCTCATTGCTCCGCCACGCCAAGAATAGCTGTAAATGATCAATTATATCAGAACGAACCAATCCGAAGACACTGAAAACAAAATGCAAACTCAGTCATCGGTCTACGCCGGTGGACACGCGGAGTAGGGGACCTAGTGAAAAAGTCAGGATGCATTTAACCAAGTAAATGAGACGTTGCCGAAGATCGACACCGGACCACTGTCAACGGGTAAAGGTCTCCTCGCTGTCGCACGGTGCCCGGCATCGATCATTCGCGTTATCGACATCTCGATCCCCCGAACCGGTCAGAGGACAGCGGCCCCGTGGGCTCCGGGGCCCGTGACATCGCATGTGGAAGATCTAGGAATCTCTCGGTCGCCTCTCGATCACGCCTGATCGAGCCGGAGAATGAACGGTCCCCGAATGCGAACGGAACGGGGCCCCGTTCTCGTTTTATCGCTTGACGGTACCACGATTCTCCCGGCATTGTTTCCAACGTGAGAAGAAAATGTGAGAACCCTTCTCCCACCCCGCCATCCCCTCGTCCCGCTCCGCCGCGCCACCCCGCGCTTCGAAGCCACCGTTGCCTCCAGTTTATTAGCTTTGGTCCATTAATCTGCTGACGCCGCGGTGCCTTGTAATTTTCGACCTCGGCCATTTTAATAGTTTTTAATTAATCGGGGAACCAGAGATTTCATTAGCAGCGTCTGGATTGTTCACGCGGATCCTTTCCTAGCGAGGTTTTAGGAATGTCTTTTTGTTTCAACGACAGAAGGTTGTTGCGCTGCTTCAGTGGCTTTTTGCTTGTTAGATCGTGTTCATTGATTTTGTGTTATTCCATCTTCAAATCGTTCTATAGAGATTCTAATATAATATTCAAGTTAGATTGAGTCTTATGCGATTGGTGTTACGGTTTCGAAGACGCTTCGGAATAATTAAATGTGCTGGAATTGTATTATATGGCGAATTTGGTGTTGCGGAGGTATTGATGTTACATGTACCGATTATTGTTAACGTACTTGTATTATTGAAGTACTAATAGATATTAGTATTGCCAAGTTAGAGGTGTACTTTCTACAGAAATAAATATTGCATGAAGTTTTCACGGAACTTTTGCGTCTCCTTTAGCACGTCGCAAGATAGTTTCGATGCATGGAGAAGTATGGAGTGTTTTATTCGCGTTCATGCATGCTTCATCCCTCCACTCTTTTCTCCAAGAACTGCCTCGCTGGGCTGGAATAATCTTGGGAAGAAATCGTGCAAGAACGTGACCAGCCGCGGTGAACGTGAACTCCGCGTGGGTGTAGCAGACATTCGCTGGTTCTTTGGTCTTCCATGTTCCAGTCGGATCCCAGGGAGCTATTGGAACTGGTTGGAATGGCTGGGAGAACGACGATTAGAATTTTTCTCTGGAAATACACTTTGCTACTACTACCATCCTTGCAACCCTTGATCAAAATGTAATAAATACTTTCCCGGTGCTAAGTGAATTACTAATCTTCTCTTTAGCCAAAAATTTGTCAAACTTCTGATTAGTCGAAAACATCGAAACGCATTGGAAGAAACGAAACTGCAGAAATCGTCGGAAACATTGTCGAGCTTAATTCGTACCGAACGTAAGACTTTAATTGACGATGACGTCGATTACCGTGATTTCCATCGACTCAGAAATGCAACGAATAATCTGTGTTCGAAATCGCAGACGCTTACTCAGCGACTGGCACAATGCAGCTGGACGCATATTGTATGCGCCGTTTTATCTTATTCCGCCTCACGCCATTCTAGTTTTTTCTCGCGTTTCTGTTAGCCTTCTCGGTGGCGTGCATTCCTATTCTAAGTAGGCAATCTCCTCTCTTAAAAAAATTCAAACTACTTCGTCGAAAAAATATTTTTAAAATATATTCTTAAACCTCCATCACGAAACGTACTTCAAAGAAATTAATATTCCGAGTACGAGGAAATATTTGTTTAGCAATCACCTATCCGAAATGAAAGGAAACACATCAAAATCAAATTTTATATCTCGTGACACTATAAATTTATTTTGGTAACCATAAACTTCCTGCTTCCAGCTCCTTACTATATTCCATTGCGCGAACATCTCCTTCTTTGCATAATAAAAGAGAATATATTTTATTATTATTCCCGAAGGTATCAATAATCATTGATCCGTGACCTTAATAAAAAAGAATCCGCTCCACTGTTCTCGATCTTCTGCTCGGTCGGCTGTAGCTGTTCGCGTGTACGCGTAACGCGCAAGATTTATTGCCGTCATTAGGATTCTGAAAACATTACGGGCCGGCGATCCGCCGTTATAGAAAATATAAGGAATAGGGCCATAACCCGGTGAATTGTAACGAAAGAGGCGAGCGAGGGATCGACCTTAGGCGGAGGAAGTGTTTAAATTTTTGCGCCCGATACCGTGATGCAATTAAGTTGGCAATTCCGCGAGCAAGTCACTCGTAAAAACGGTTGCCCCCGCTCGACAAGAGCTAACGAGGAGTTTCTTTTCCCGTGTTCGTCTGTTAAAGATAATTTGCGCGCGGATCCAGCGTTGCGTGATTCGGATCGACGCGCGACGTATAATTTTAATTTTAATGCCCGCCCTTCGGGATGCGTAGCGCACTCGTAGGTGTGCGTAACGGGGTCGTTAAATTGCTGCCAACCTCGCAAACCACGTCCTCCTCTCGTCACGTGCATTTAGTGCCGGCGGTACACCTCTCCAGAGCGAGCACTTCGATGGAAACTATATCTCATGTTCGTTCTCCTTTTTTCTTCTACCTGCGCAACAGATTTTTCCGCGGCGATTATGCTCGCGCGAACGAACTTTCGAAAACGACGGTTTCTTCCGTGCCAGGCCTGTTTCCTCCCCTCCCGAGGAATCACCCGTTATTAACGAGGAAGATATTTCTCGGTGCTCGTTATCGATTCGAGTTCTCTCGATTCCTCGTTGAAGTTCGCTGAAGTTTTCCTTGAAGACGAAGGGATGCCGACGGTTAGAGGACGGACGATGGACGGTGAAGGTTGAGAAAGAAAAAGTCGACAGAGGCAGCGTGTATATTGTCAAAATATATTCAATGAAAAAATCATCTTGTAAAATTAGACAATCGTTCCATTCGTTACAAGAATATTAATAATAGGAGTGATAATAATAATAATCGTCGTCATCATTATTACCTTGCCTAACAGAACCGCTACCGAATGCAATTATAATCCCTACAACCTATAGCGGTGCCTTAAGAAACTTGAGGAACGTCCTTTATTTACAACAATTACGTCAATGTTTACGCAAAAGGATTCGCGATCGGGCGCGGCTCGATCCGCCAATGTCTATCGCATTACCACGCTCCGCACACGTTCGTCGTCTCTCTCGTTTGAGCAATAATTATAATTACACGTCGTTCTCGCGCCCGAATTTATTTATAAATAATATATTTATATTTATATTCATATTTATATTTATATATATATATTTATATATTTATATTTATCGACGTTAAAACCCAACGTTTCACGCGACGCGAAACGCCATTAGAACGCACCGCTTAATTTTGTATTCTTCCGTTTTATTGAACAATTTCCAAATGACTCGTTCGAACGTCGCGATTTCAATCAATCGGAACGAATAATTCGATGTTAACCGATTCCAGCTTTCGCCGCCTAATTCGTTTACCGATAATGATATATTAAATAATAATATATATGTATATATATCTAATATATGTATTAGATAATAATATATATATATTATATATATTATATATATATATTTAATTTATTTATATTATGTAATACTAGTGACAGTATTACATCTCCCATTCGAAAATTTTCTTTCCTTCTCTCTCGGAAACGTTGGATTTTCACACAGCACTGGTAAAGTTTGTAACCCAAACTAGGCTTACCTCAGAACGCTTATAACCAATAAATAGACATCGACAACTAATTACAAACGCTCCCGATCGATTTCAGTATCCCCATCTATGCGTCGCGCACGCGATATCGTGCACTTCCGTCGAACGAATTCGAACCGGACACGCGCGCGGAGCTTCACCGTGTCGGACACAATAAATACGATTTCTAACGCTTTTCGACTATAACTGACCACCATACGCTATGGTACACCCGCCATCTTGTTCGCGTGCTCTTCAGCTTCTGTCCCGCGAGCTCGATCGGGAAGATGGCCGATCGAATGTGTTCGGTACCTTGCACCGGAGGAGTTTCTGGGCGTATTCAAATCATTTGAGAGTTTACGATCGACGAACTATCTGTTTTACTCAATTTTTCGAATAGGGTATTCATGGACACTTTTGGGGAAGTGTCAATGAATTGGATCGACTAAGACGATTGAAAATACGTTTAAGAAAATTGAAGGATCAACCCTCGGTATTTTGTTTTGTCTTGTGACAATTTGTGAATATATCGTTGTTAATAGAAAGAAAAGGGATACAGATACCTTGACACGGCTTAACAGCGAAGTTCGTATAGATCCAATGCAAAAGAATCGATCTTAAACTATCAAATAACAGTTACCCGGGAATATTGTCTCCCAGAAACGGTTTCCACCGTTCGTTCGCCAATGATTCAACATCGGCAACGGGTTCCGCGGTGCAACGAGGTATAACTGTTGCCATAGTACCAGGAACGACGTTCATTTCCATGGAAATGGCTGGAACGGCAACAGGGAACATCGAGTCGACACGCAGGAACGAGAAAATCGTGAAAATAAAAGAGGCTTTCCCGGATGAAACAGCGTCCTCTTTCTTCGGGAGCCCCTATTCGCGATCAACCGACGAGCCGCTGCGTTCGTCCGCGACAAATAAATTATTCACAGCGTCGAGAGAACGGGGAAACATCGTGGAATCGCGGTCTTGGAGAGGAACAGTTTCCCGTCGCGAGCTCCCTGGGTCGCCGGCGCGGCGGGAAACGGCAAGAGAACGATTCTCGATTACGCGTCCGTCGCGAGGAATCGTTCGATGGACTTCGCCCGGAACAGGGATTTCGGGGATCACGCGCAGTCCAGGGACGCCAGGGACGCGGGACTGTGCGGCCCGCCCAGCATGAACGGTGGGCTCATCGGTGGACCACCGCTTCCGGTGCTGTTCCCATAGAGCTCAAGGTCGCCGAGGGAACCGCCGTCCACGCCGCTGTCGCACTTGTCCGACTTCCCCTCCTGCTTCAACACCATGCGCCGCCATTTTGCGCGGGCGTTCTGGAACCAGACCTGCGAACAAATAATGGATGTTGCTCAGTGATGAACGATGATTTCTGTGCGAAGGAGAATTAAACGTATTTATAGTACTGTCATCTTGGTATTTGTTACGTAGGTGCCACAGTTTGATGAATAATTTAGAATTTGACTCGCGGAACTATTCTATGCTATCTAAGAATCGAAGAGTTTATAGGAATCTGATCTAAAGGTCTGAGAGTCTAACGGATTTGCGAATTCAAGGATCTCCGCGGAAACGTTTAGATGTAACTATAGGAACACTCTAAGGCATTAGTTTCCTTGATATTTAAAGCAACAATCTCGCGGAACAATCTTATCGAGTATTCCTAAAATCTAACGATTTCCTGCTCCCACGGTGTCCACGTCGCCAACAAAAGTACCTCACCTCCCCTCGGAAAAGAAAAGAACACGCCTACCACGGAATACCCCTCCCGTCATTACACCTGACACCCGAAGAAGAACGCGGGCCGCAGAAACAACGGCGAGGACAGGATATCGTTCGTACGAAAAAACGCTCGCCGCGCGGCGCGCCGCAGTTATATATCTTCATCGAGGGGGGATTTCGCGCAGGGGAATAATTTAAATGCAGCCGCACGCGTGCACCGGCACGTCAGCGGGCCGGGCCCCGCTAGGATAGCTACATCGTCCATACAATGCGACAATATATAATGCGACGACACACACTCGAGCCTCGTCCGGGCGTCGTCCCTCCGGCCATCCGCCGCTCCTTCCCCCTTTCTTTCCACCCCTTGTGTCACCGATAGATAAAAGACGGCCCCGATGCACACGGGATCCGCGTCGCCATTTTCAAGATCCAGTCTCCTCCCCCGCGGACTGAAAACCGGGAGGAGAGAGACCTTGCAACCGACAGAAACCGTGGGCCTCCCCTTCGTGGTCGAGGCGCGCGAGCGTTCCTCTACGTCTGTACGGGTTTCCACATACACCTGCGCGTGTGGGGAATATGCCGCTAGAGGCACACGTATATTTCGCGCGTCTAGTACGTGCACACAAGGGAACACGGAGAGGAGAGCGGCGACGAACGCAGCCGCGGCGAATGAGCGAGTATTCGTGCGTTTCGCGATCAATATCAAGCAAGATGGCGACCAAGAACCCTACGCCGCACCGAATACAATAGGC